GAAAAGGGTGATCTTTGCCTATTTCCCTCCATCTTATAATTTCTCACATTAATTTAATTGAAGCATATCTTAGTCCAAATTAAGCATATTTCATTTGTGTCCCGCTAACATTTACACTGTACACATGAAGTTAAGGACATCATATCCTTAATATTTGCCCAACAAACATGAAGAAAGGGTAAAACATATTTTCGTATTAATTTTAACAGAGTTGTGGTTATTTTTGCTCAGCATTAAAAATGCTGAACAAAAAATAAATATCATGTTAAAAAGTAGCTATTCCACGCCATTTCTACTCGTTTGTATGTTGGATATTTGTGCATTCTCTAATTCTTGACAGGGAATTAAATTTCAGTAGCTTTGTCCTAGAACATTAAGAATAATTATGGAAGCAATTTTTTTTCCTCTCCTCCTTTTGTTCTTCGAATGTCCTCCTAGTTTTTTTGGGTTTACTTTTATTTTCTCCTTTCTTTTCCCATTTAACAACTTACCATAAATATAGTGGAAAATACTTTTTTCACTTTACACTTACATTTTCTGAAAAATGGAAGTGACAAAATTACCAGTTTAGATTTTTCTAACTAAATATATATTATGATAAATTTTGCAACCCATATAGAGCTTATGGAATAAACAAATGTATGAAAAAAAGTTTCTTTTTCTCTTTTATTTAATTGGAGTTTCAATATGTTATCTGAAATTGTTTTCAAATCCAAATTAAAATGTACATTGATTGAACTTCCCTTTCTAGACTAATCAAATCTTGCTTAAGCCAGATTCTTCACTAAAAATATTCGATATTCAAGAAACTTCAAAAGTATAATAAACTACAACCTTTTTTGTATTAATAAATAAATAACTAATGAACTTAATTAAATGTAACATAACCTCGACAATTTAAAAATCAGATTTTGATATCGAAATGCTTGTAAACTTTCTTTCAAAATAAGATCGTACAAAAGATATTGAAATTTTTAACAAACATAATTTATTATTATAAACATAAATTAATGAGTTGAGCTTAACGAAAAAAATAAGGATTCATATTGTCGACCCAATTTATTTGGGACTAATGTATAATAGTTGTTGTTGTTGTTATTGTGGTAAACTTTTCTTGTCCTTTAAAATGTATGCTATGAAATGATATTTTTCTCCCTTTTCTTACTTTAGCTGGAATCTTTTTAGTCAAATTTGTATATATTATGCTAAAACAATTGAGTTAAAAAAACCTTTAATTGGTGATTATTAACCAAGTTTTTTGCTAAACTAAGTAATACATTAATTAGTTGTATTCATTTTTATAATAATACTAAATTTAAGTTAACTCGTAAATAAGCATACGAATTAGTTAAAATTTTGAAGCTCTGGTATAACAAAGTAACATTTGAATAATAAAATTAACTTTGTTAACATATGAAACCAGCAGAATCTATCAATAAAAAAATCAAATTTTTGTGACACTATTACAAGAAATACCAAAAGAAAATTAACAATAATTTAAAATGTGATATGGCTAAGCTGTATGTGAAAGAAGAATTAACCAAAAAACTACCGTATCAGCGCAGAAGCCAAAAAGGATAGTAGAAATTCGCCCTCGAGTTGCCGGACAAGCATGTCGTCCAGCTGTTAACTCCCTCTTATTAGATAGTAGAAATTCGCCGTGGCTAAAGGATTACACTTGTTCAATAATTTAAAGTTTTATATCAAAATTATTTTCACATAGTGCACTTTTTTTCATAGTTCCCCTTATCGTGAATTTAATCACAAGGCATTACGTTTGATAAACCTTTTAACTAAATTGTTTGTTCTATGCAATTTAAAAAAAAAAAAGGATCAAATTTCTAAAGTAAAAAATGGAAGCAAATTCATACTTGTCGAGTATAAAACAAATTACTCCTAGTTGGCAACTATGATAGCTCCCATGTATAATTACAACAACAACAACAATCCGAGGGTCTATTTGGAAACAGCCTCTCTACCCCAGGGTAGGGGTAAGGTCTGCATATACACTACCCTCCCCAGACCCCACTAAATAAGATTATAGTCTGTTTTTGGTTCCCGAAAAATATATTGTAGTATATTTTAACGATTATATATGAATTTTATATTTTATTTTAGTTTACTTATTTGGAGCCTCGTTTCAAATTATATTATATTTGTTTACTAAGATTAATGATCATCCGTATAGAAGTTCCATTATACAAAGGATTTACATATTTAGAATTATTAAAATAATATCATACATTCATATAGAATTTGCATAGTAGTAAGTGATTTATTTTGGATTACACGAAATATATGCGCAGTTGAGGAGTTTTTGGCCAATATTTTTCCTTATTTTTTATGGTAGGTCTATTTTGGTCCCTCAAATATAACTTTGAGCATAAGTATGCGAAAGTAGAGCACCTTTAGTCTTACTTACGGGGTTGGTTTCGGCACTCACCGTCTTTTTAATTTAATTATCGAAAATATTTTATAAACCAACACCCACTAATTGTACAGAGCTGATAAATTTAAGATTTTAACGTTGAAACTTTTACTTTAAAAATTTCGGTTGTTTTTTCCAAAAAGAAAAATTAAAAATTGAAAAAAAAAGAGCTGCCAAGTTTACTTCTAGGCATATTTTTGAAGCAAACAAATAGCCAGATTGTATTATCACTTTTAGCTCGCGCCAGAAACTATTTACATCTGATAGCCGAAAAGATATATATAAAATTTGTATATTTTTTGTATATTAACATACAAAATAATATACAAATTTTATATGTTTTTTCGGCTATTATTTTTACAACAGCTATACAATGTCATTTTCTTATTGAATACTCGCACACATAAGGGACATTTTCAAGGTCAAAATTTTAGAAGATATTATCTAAAAATGAGGAATTAAAGCGATAATTTGTGTTATCCAATAAAAGGAGAGGAAACATTTTACTTCAGAGCAGAAGATTTGATTCATGAATCAGAGTTGGTTAACACCGTTAGTTTTTTAACATATTCTACTAGTGAGACTAAAAGTGCTCCACTTTAGCATACTTAAGGGACTAAATATGCTCAAAGTTATATTTGATAGACCAAAATAGACATACCCTCAAATATAAGGGACAATATTGGTCAAAAACTCAGCAGTTAAGTCATACTTAGTGGACGTTTGCATATAAGAATTGTGAAATTCCAAAAAAGTTAATTTTTCTTCTTCTAGTTGAGAATAGTATTTGAAAATTGGAGTTGTGTTTGGACACGAATACAACTTTGAGTTGTTTTTGAACTTTTGTGAGTGATTTGAAGTGAAATTATAACAAAAAAATATTTGAAATTCAATTTCAAGTTAGATTTGGAATTTCATGGCCAAACACTAATTTTCAAAAACATGAAGAAAAAAAATTCAGGAAAAAGTGATTTTTTGGGCCAAACGAGCCCTTAAGTTACCTTAAATGAATTAAAAATAGTATCGGAATAATTCATAGTGGAATAATAATATCAAAATAAGTTATCTTTAAATAACACCTTGTTTGGATGATTGTTACATATTGTATTATATCGTATTGTTATTTTAAATATGATGTTTGTTTGTATTATTATTTAAATTTTATTGTATCATATCGTTAAATATGTCGTTACATAACGACCTAACGTGCCATTTTATGTAACGATGGATTTGATGTGGTCGCGTCGTTATCTTGTCTTTTTCTCTCATCTCACCCTTCATAATTAAATATTTTTTTTAATTTATCTTACATTTTTATATAATAAAGACAAACGATACAATCTATTCAAATATTATATTCGTCAAATGACACAATACTTTCTGTACCCGCCTGACCTATGACCCAAATCTCCATTACACACTTTATGTGGACGATAATAATATTGCACACGCAACCTTTCTAAAGTGTAGCTAGTACACACCACTTTTTTCTTGACCAGTTTTTCAAAATATATGTAAGGTCACGCGCCAATAAGGTCGTGACACGTGTCCTAACTCAAGAAAAAAAAAATACTAAATTTACACCAATTGATAATATTTAAAAGAAAACAAACAAAGCCCCCTCCCCCACCTTTCTCATCTTTTTCTGAACCCCATACCCATCGACCTCTTCCTCTAAACTCCAACAGCCATGGCAAATCCTCACCAGAATAAAATATTAACATGAATCAAGAACCTATCCATATAATTGAAGCACCCAAACTTATCAAATTTTGAAATTTCTATTTACCAAAATTAAAATCAAAATCTGCAACTGTAGATTCAAAATATGCAACCAAAATCAAAGTCAAACTTATTTTATCCCTTTATTCAGGTCACACGCTTCTCTCATTATAAAAGGGAAAAGAGAAAAAGGAAAAGAAAAAACTTGAAAATGACTAGTTTACCGGCAAGCTTCTCGAGTAGAGAAAACGATCGAAGTAATTAACAGCGAGATACGCCGTTAATGGTTGGAAATAATAGTGGCATTGTACCTGCGCCACAAAGTTCTTTCACCAGAGTATATTTTAGCAAACAAAAGAAATAAAATATAACATGCGTCGTAAAGTTCTTTCACCGAAGTTTATTGTGTTATCAAATGAGATTGAGTGAACAGTACCTTGAGAAAAGAAAATGGAGGCTAGAAAGACATTTTCTAGTAAAAAGAAAAAAGATAAAAAGAAAAGAATAATGTAGGCCATCACATTGACTTTATTAAATCTGAGCCGTTGGAATAAAGCTGCAGATGAGCATGTTGACAAAACATGTATAGATCTGACGCACTCACTTTTATTTGTTAAATACGCGCGTCTCATTTGACAAAAGTAGTGTGTTTTAGACACACTTTAGAAAGATTGCGTGTGTAAAATAATTTTTGTTTGCAGAAAGTGTGTAAGGGATGTGGGTCATAAGTGAGGTGACAACTTGTGTATTTTGCCAATGATATATAACAAGTATTCAAACAAGCTGTAAAGCAATAAAATTAATAATTCTAAAATTAATATAACATATCAAACATTAAATAAGAAACTTGTGTTCAAAGAAAAAGAAGAAAGAAGAACAGAAAGCTATTTTCTCCTCAAAACCCCCTTTTGTTCTTGCTGCTCCAATTACACAGAGCTTCGTTAACCATCTTTCTTTAAAAATCCCCTCCCTTCAAAATTTCGCGAAGTTATTGTTCATCGCTGCATTCTGCTCAAAGTGAGTGGGTTATTTACACATAAAATACTTCTTAAAAATTACAGCATGCATGTATCTTTTAGTTTGAAATTTTGAACGACATTGTGTTGATCTTTTCTCTTTCTTGGTTTAATTACAGTGGCAATGGACTTAGGGAGCAGATTTGTTAACCCTACGGCTAAAAGGTTACAGCCCTGTAGCCCCCGAGGTAAATTCCCCCCTTTTTTTTTTTTTTTCTGTACACCATGTGGTATTATACGTGACCTAGTTTGATTTGCACTTTTTGCTAAAAAGTAAAATCAATCAGTCAAATCAACCACTTTTTAGCCCCAAATTATCAGTAGTATTTAACAAGGTTACTAGCTGAAGTTACATGGAACTCTTTTTTAGTGTTGGTGTTTACAAGGACCTTATTAACAGACATTTGCCTTCAGTAAGTTCAACGGATACACAGAGCTGTTATTTTTAAAAAGAAAAAGGATTTTAGTCGTCGTAGTAGTAGTGGTAATAGTACTAGTTGTTGTATTATAAGTATCTACTTATTTGTATTATAAACCCCATTTATGAAAGGTGTGAAATTATTAACTATCACTTAAGGTATGAAGAAATTCTTCATTCATTATGTATACTGTATGCTAGAATGCAGCTCTTTTTCTTCCTCCTGCACTCTCCCGCCAATGGATAGCAACACACCCATAGTGGTAATAGTACTATTTGTTGTATTATAAGTATCTACTTATTTGTATTATAAACCCCATTTATGAAAGGTGTGAAATTATTAACTATCACTTAAGGTATGAAGAAATTCTTCATTCATTATGTATACTGTATGCTAGAATGCAGCTCTTTTTCTTCCTCCTGCACTCTCCCGCCAATGGATAGCAACACACCCATAGTGGTAATAGTACTATTTGTTGTATTATAAGTATCTACTTATTTGTATTATAAACCCCATTTATGAAAGGTGTGAAATTATTAACTATCACTTAAGGTATGAAGAAATTCTTCATTCATTATGTATACTGTATGCTAGAATGCAGCTCTTTTTCTTCCTCCTGCACTCTCCCGCCAATGGATAGCAACACACCCATTGACGATGAACCCTTTCGTTGGTTTACCATTTGCTTCCATTTGTGTGAAAAATTTGTAGTGAGTAATGCAGTTGAATGCTGAATATTCATGCATATCATATGAGTATCATATATTCTGTTGTCATCATGTCCTCTGTTCTCGTGCCTTATGCTTAAAACTTTTATTTGTGGAACAGATTTATTTTCTAAGGGAACAAAAAAGATAAAATTTGATGAAAGTGGAAGCCAGAGTAACCCTACTGTTGCATATAGCTGGCGGGAAGAATGCGAACACGAAAAAGGAAAGGTGTCATCAGGAGTTTTTGGCCGCTCTGATCCGTTTGCTATTCCGGACTTGCTTGAAGCGTTAGATTCTGGGAAGTTTGGAAGTGTCACCAGAGAGATTGAGGACCTTATTAAGCGGCGAATGAAGTTAGTGAACTCTTGTTTTGCAAGTGATCATTCACTTCCCAACAAAGTCTTGGAATTAGAAAGGAACTTTGAGAAAGGGGAGTTAAAAGGAAATCAGCTTGCGCCCGATGTAATTGACTTGGAGGACGAGCAGGAAGCTAAAGGCATTGCTTCAGCAGCAATGGTTCCCTCTACATGTTTTGGACCTTCAGTTGGGCCTGTTGTTATTATTGATTCAGATGATGAAGACAGTCAAAAAAACTTCATCTCTCCATCTCAGGGGATGATTCACACTCAGAAGAGTTCTATTTCTCCATTTCAGGGGATCCCCTTACAGAATGCTTTGATTGACTTTCAAGTTAAGGATTTTGTGGTAAGTACATTCTAGATTGTTAAATTCGTGGAAATTCTTTATGCCACTGTTTGGTGCTATCTTTGGTGATGATGTTATTCGAAGCAGCATCACTGAATTTGCATTTCTCAATTATCTTGTTTTTCGTGAAAAAGAAATCTTACTTGATCTGCTAGAGAAAATATCTGAGCATGTTCTGTAATTGATCATGGTGAAATATAAGCTCTGACCTCCAAATCTCAAATCATATAGATCACTACTATCTATCATGGAAGTGAAGTCATGATCTACCTCAACAGGAGGAATCTAACCACTCAGTCAGCAGGGTGAATTTATTTATTTGTTTTAGGAAGATGCAGGGTAATTTGTTGCTTCCAAGTAGTCCCTTGTCAAATTATTAAAATTTACCTTTTAGAATATCATGGTATGCTCGACACTGTAAGAGTTAGGAGCATACGATATGTACCCTTGAACTTGAGGAGGAGTGTTAAGACTTAAGAATTTGGAAATTGTTAGTGGCAAGAGTCTATTCCTTGTAAATATGGGAAAGATGTAGAGTCCCTGTTATTAAGAATAGGAATTACTTTCTTTTTCTGTTTTGAATTACTTGTAAACACTATTTAAATCCTAATATACTTGTGGAATGATCGAGCAATTCATTTAAGTCTTCTTTTCTTTTCTTTCTTTGTTGGGGAGCGTGGGTCAGGGGTAAGGTGGGAGCATAAGCGGACAGGGAATGGACTTGAGGTTCTTGATCTCAATGCTTACCAGTATAAATAATAAATATGTGGCATCTTTAGGCTAAACAAAGGGATAGGAAGTGTGAAAATACCTATATGTGTGCATAAAGCTTTGACAACGTCTTCAGACAATCTAATGTGAAGATTGAGAAAGAGACCCTCTCTAATGTATTGATAGACCAATCAATCATCACACATCTTGCGTTTGATAAAAAAGGATACCACAATATGTCCGGGAAATCGGGAGGGGTGTTTAATATAGGATTGTTGGAAACTTCATCAGAAACTCTTGACTGTCTGAGGCAACATCTTAAAGTTAAATTTTATTGAATTGTGTGTCAATGGTATTTTTTCCTATCTCAGTAAATTCAGTTGCTATTTACATAGGATTTTAGAGTTTTCATCCTACGTTATGGAGGCCATGTGAGTATGTGCTTATACTGGCTAAAAGGGCATTTACTGCTATATATATATATATATATATTTATTTATTTTTGATATGGTAAATGCATTTACTGCTACATAAGTCTGATAAACACCAGATCATAATTTCTTGGTGATGAATACTGAAATTTTGTCCTTGTTCTGTGATCTTGAGCTCAGGAAATGATTTCATGATTTCTTAAAAACTGTTACTCTGTGAACTGTACAACTAGTAACATACATTTTTTATGGAAGGTAATATTTTATCAATAAATGGTACCAAGACTGAAGTTGTACAAAAGATCCTGGTGCAAATGTCATGCTCGTTCTAAGTCTTCGAGGAGTCAATAAGTTCCAGGATTTCACTTACATCAGTTACATCTTCCCGTCTACCCTTCAACAGTCCTATTCCTTTCTACCTTTTTTTTTTTTGACGAAGTCCTGTCTACCCATATAAACAATACACACAACAGAATAGTATTCGGTACTCATCTAAATATCTTCCTGATCTTCTGTCCATTTCAGCTGTAAAGTAGTTGTTCCACATTCCTAGGCATCACTCACTGGATTCCTTAAGATTAAAGAATAAATTCCATATCTGCGAGGCCACTGTGCAGTGAATGAAGAGATGACTAACTGTTCAATCGTCTGTTCACACATAGCACATCTGCTGCATAGATTAACCCTCTTCTTCGTAGATTATCTTGTGTTATACAAAAGTCTAGAGCTTCAACCCACCCAAAACAAGCCACTTTAGGTGGAGCTATTGTTTTCCAAATTAGATTCCAAGGCTAATTGCTAATTCTAGGCTCATCTTGTTTCAATAACATCTTGTAACATGATCGGACTGGAAATTTCCATAAATTTCTCATGTCCGGATGATAACTTTTCCGCACAGCTTTAGGGTGCAATTTATGAATTTTTCCTATTCCCACAACACAAGTGATCCTTAGTCCTCCTTTTCCCTGACACCCAATAATTTCATTAAATCTGAGATGTGAGAGCTGTGGAAATTGAATTTCAAAGGGTTATCCCCACAACGCAATTGATTGTTAATCCTTCTCCTCTTCCCTTAACTCCCCAAGAACAACATTGATCATCTTGTTTTATATATGATTGGCCCGGGTTCTCTTACGTCATTTTTATTTAGTCAAATTTCGTATGCTTCGCTGCTAATCTGTTTGAACAATGCCAGGGGCAGGGGAGGGATTCTGCTGAAAGACAGACTTTGATAGAAGTTGTAAGCCTCGGTGGAGAAGCTGAAATAAAGAAAGATAAAGGTGTTTATGTTGGTGTACAAGATGATGATGAGATTGATGATGGCACCGAGCAGCCCGATGAAGGTTTGACTGATATATGGAATGAGATGTCATTTGCTCTCGAATGCTCAAAGGTACATTTGTTTGATATTGTATTCAGCTGCATAGTCGAAACGTTGGTTATTTTGACCCTACAGCAATGAATAACTCTCTTTACTAGGTTCTGCCACTATATTTTAAACTGGGTTCTGGAATAGCGCCTAGCAATTTGGGAGAGAATTGATAATTCTCTGTGCTGGCAATTCTAAATTATCAGCTTCTTTTCGATGTTTCAATTGTTTATGTGTGTATTATTATTCTCCCAGCGAAATTTTAAACTTGCGCATGCAACTTCTATAGTCATTTCACTTTATTAGAAAAGGTTTTGTAGTCATTTCAAAGGTGTTTACCATATACATCTATGGTTTCTCACTATAATACCCTTGTACCTTGCGATTTTCATTTTTGGTTTTTTCCTTTGGGGGCAAGGGAGATGATGTATGTTTAGGTGTTAAAAGCCGAAGAGAATGGAGTTGCTGACACTCACTATGATGATGTTTTTTACGAAATGTCTGCTAAAAATATGTATTATTGTGTATTAGTTGGTAAAGATGGAAAATAAGATAGCTGTCTTAAACTATCACTCAATAAATGAGAAATGTTGTCTAGATGACAATGAATGGGATAGTAGTCTGCTTAACTTTAACGACAAATCACTAGATTGTGGGATTTTGCAAGACGCCATTGATCTGGTGGAACGGGTTGACTTTGCTCAGAAGTATGTAGAGGATGTGGAGGCAGATTACTTGTTCAACTAAAACCTGCTGCATTTGTACACTCAAAGGAAATTAGTTCCTTATTCAATTATAAGAAATATTTGATATTTACGATAGATAGTTGGTGAATTATGAGGATACTCATTTGTAATGAATGTTATATGTGTCGTAAAGTCAGGCAAAAATGATTGCTGAGCTGTTGACATAACTTCACTCATACGAGGGAATTGGTAAAGTGCAAAAGGGAACCCTTAAAAGCTGGCCTATTTTGTAATTTTTCCTCAATCAACTTTGTAGCAAATTTGAAACTGAACTTCTTATAGAGTAATAACTAAAAAGATGCCTGCCTCTTTTTATGTTTGATTAGAAACTACCTGTCAAGAAGAGTCCGTGAAAACATGAATAGAAAGATATGGCAGAATCAAGCATATCAAAGATGAACATGAAGCATCAATTTCGTGAAGCATGTAAAGCATTATGCTTTGAATTGTTTGAATTTAAGACTCTCGGGCCTTAGCTTTCTTGGAGTCCTACTGCAAAGTACTCCAATTGTGAAACAAATGTGGGAGTTCCCATAAAAGGGTAGGTTGGGTCCGGAGGAGTTTTGGTCAAAGAATTGAACAATTCTGATGGAGGAAGCTTCATTACCTCCTCCCGGAGCGATGATAGATGATGCAACCTCAATTGAGGAGTTGTGGAATTAAGGATTGCTAAAATTCTTTATAAAAATTGAAACATGTATATGATATAGATTCGTCTTTTAAGTTTCTGCAATCCTTTCAGGATTTGTAGGGGAATGCAATACCTTTTGTAAATCTCACTCTGTAATACCATCATGTGCTTTTATGTATAGAAGTCTTACTTGAAAGAGTGTGTGTGTGTGGGGTGGGGGGTGGGGGGAGAGAGCCTGGTGCACTAATTCCCCCTATGCGTGGGGTCTAGGGAAGGGCTGGAACTTGTTGGGCCTATTGTACACAACCTTACCTTTCATATTTGCAGGAGGCTGCTCCCACGGCTTGAACCTTCTCGTGGTCACACGGCGGTAACTCTTACGATTGCCTCAAGGCTCTCTTAAAGAAAAAATCTTATCAAAAGTAAAAAAAGGATTGCGCAAAATAAGCTTGGTTGATTGAGGTGAGCGTCTCTTGAGCTTGGCATGCAAGCAACAAGAAATTGGCTTTGTAGCCATGTACACTGTACAGTGTGGAATAGACTCCACTATGGCCTGATGTACACATTGTCTAAGGAAAAAGAAACAACAGATGCATCGAGTATGCCCCATTCAGTGTTTACTATGAATTATAACTGTGATATCTAGCCTTATTATTCATACGTTTTAGTTTCTTCTGCCTTTTCCATAATTTACTTTCATAAAGTGAATTCTTTCAGTTTGGTTTCTTGTGAACCTTTTTATGAATTTGTCCAGGATTATATGCAAATGGTCGCAAAAGCTAAAATATGAAAAGAAAGGACTAAGCTTGAGTGGAGATCACATTATACCTTGGACCAGTATTAGCACTGTACATCTGAGTGCGCTTTAAAATCATAGTAGACTACATCACTTGCTGTACCTTCTTGGTAGAATCTCTAGGAAACATTTGCTGTATTGGCATTTATCTATCTACAAAATTGCCTTACGCTCACGTTCCTTTTTTCCAACCACATGTCAAGTTGTACATTTCAAATGATCACATCAAAACACACGTGCAGTTGCAATTCAAAGAGAGTATTTCTTCTAATGTTAGAGTCAACAGTTTGCCTTGTTGTATATGTAAATTGTTCTTTCCTGGCTATTAGATATTCTACGTTATATTTGACTGTTGCATGTAAAAATAGGATGTTGCTGCTGAACCTTCACCAAATGAGCATACAGTTGAAGAGGAAGACGAGTGTGATCATTCCTTCATCTTGAAAGATGATATTGGTTATGTCTGTCGTATATGCGGAGTCATTCAGAGAAGCATTGATACCATCATTGAATTCCAGTATTCAAAGGTCCGGCTTTCAATCCTTGATCATCTTTTGTTTTGGATATTGTGCTTGGGAAAAAATTAGTACATTGATCATGATTATTTGTGTTAACTGTTTTTTGCTAAATCATCTGAACTGCTTTGGACCTTGATGATTAAGTTGTGTAGCATCTGTCATTTCTATTAACCCAGTTTACTGCCTGTCTTAGATGAATGTTTATTTGACTTAGAAACAAATGCTGGGTGAGAACCGAAAGTAACTTGTCATCCTTCCTTACTGAGTCCGAAAAGTTAACCATTTTTTTGGTATTCTCATTCTGTGGAAAATGGAACTCTTATAACTTTCTAAATACTAAAACATCAGAAGGAAATGAATGATGGTTTTGTTACTATAAGAAGAAATTGCATAAGCTTTTTTCGCAACTGTTCGGGGAGGTGGTTAGGTTATCAAAAGCTTTGATTGGCTCATTTTTGTGACCCTGTCTTAACCAGTCTGAGGTAGCATTTTGGGCTGGTTTAATACAAGTCATTTACTTAATTAGTTGGCCTTCTAATCTAAGTATCTGGAATTATTTCACAGACGTTCTTTTTGCGTTTTTTTAACAGGCCTCCAAGAGTATAAGAACGTACCACTATGAAGGTCGGTCAGCCAAGGATATAGGGCATGCTGAACTCCTTCCTGAGGGCATCATTTCATCTGATGACATTGATACGACTGAAATTTGTGTTCATCCAAGACACAAGAAACTGATGAAAGCTCACCAAGTTGAGGGATTTAATTTTCTTGTTAGCAACTTGTTGAAAGATAAAGGAGGCTGTATCATGGCTCACGCCCCTGGATCTGGCAAGACTTTCATGATAATCAGCTTCCTACAGAGTTTTATGGCCAATAATGATAGAGCTAGGCCTTTGGTGGTGTTACCTAGAGGAATCTTGGCTACATGGAAGAAAGAGTTCTTGAGGTGGCAGGTAGATGAAATTCCCCTCTATGACTTCTACTCAGTAAAAGCAGATAATAGATCTCAACAATTGGAAGTTCTGAAGCAATGGTCACAGGAAAGAAGTATTCTTTTTCTAGGCTATAAGCAGTTCTCAACAATCGTGTGTGACAATGTTGGCAGTACGACTGCAGCTGCTTGTCAGGAGATTCTGTTGAAGTGCCCATCAATTCTCATTCTTGATGAAGGGCACACTCCGCGGAACCAAGACACTGATGTTTTGACTTCACTCGAGAAGGTCCAGACGCGACTAAAGGTGGTGCTTTCTGGCACCCTCTACCAAAACCATGTTAAAGAGGTCTTTAACATTCTGAACCTTGTGCGGCCAAAATTTCTCAAGTTGGAAGATTCCAGAAACATCAAAAGGACAATACTGAGCAAAGTGGCCAGCTCAGGCAGAAAGAACCTCTTGAAGAAAAGTAATGATAATGATTTTTATGAGTTAGTAGAGCATACATTGTTAAAGGATGACAATTTCTCAAGGAAGAGTTCTGTCATACTAGGTCTGCGGGATATGACCAGTAAAGTGCTTCACTATTACAAGGGAGACTTCCTCGAAGAACTTCCAGGATTGGTGGATTACACTGTCCTTCTAAACCTCCATCCTAAGCAGAAAAGTGAAGTTGCAGAGCTGAAGAAACTGGGAAGAAAGTTCAAAATCAGTTCTGAAGGAAGTGCAATGTATGTGCACCCACAATTGAAGAGCCTTTCAAGAAACTTTTCTGTTAAAGAAAGAGTTGATGAAGAGAAGATTGATATGCTCTTAGAGAATTTGGAAGTGAGGGAAGGAGTGAAGGCCAAATTCTACCTTAACCTGCTGCAGCTGTGTGAATCAAAAGGTGAAAAACTGCTAGTGTTTAGCCAGTACCTCTTGCCTTTGAAATTCTTGGAGAGGTTGACTGTTAGGACTAAGGGTTACAGTCTGGGGAAGGAAATATTTCTGATCACTGGTGATTCAGACTCGG